GAGCTCGATCTCGACGGTATTTGCGACATGTCTTGCTCGGGCGACGCCTCCCGGATTTGTGGAGGCTACTACAGCATGAATATCTACGAGAACGACGTGGAGCCCGACGACGACCCCGCCTACCTTGGGTGCTACTCCGACCCCGCCGACAGCCGCGTTTTCGTGCGGGAGGCTGCCTCTGACGACATGTCCGCAGAGGCGAGTGAGAGCGTGATACCAGAAGCGTGCAGTTGCACTTGTAGTGGTCGAGTTAATTTGCGTTCTTGAATCGCTGCGCACATGGGTAGCTCCTTTACGAGGTGGATGCGTTGCTGGCTATATTCGACACATTGGGTTGCAATTTCCCTCGAGTTGTCCGAAGCGTGTAGAACTGGCCGAACCGTACTCATGGACCCCCGTGCGCATCGTATATCACCGACGGCACGTGCTCACATTAACACACCACCGGCCATATTTCCATATCAGTCCCTTCCCACTATTGTAGTCTCCTCCCTTCTGTGGACCCTTGACCTCCCGCCAATTTGACCAAACGACCACAGGTCTGCCTGGGGCACTGTAGCGCGTATCAGTACTACGGAACCCAGTATTCGACAGAGGTAAGACTGTTGTACAACTGATCGTGCTTTGTGTGCGTCGCGGAGGGTTGTGTCAACATAGTGTTGGATCTATGTCATGTGCGTCGCACCGGGCGTAAACAGGCTCGGACATGACCTTGTTTCGGTGGCTCTTCCAAGCCACTCACGTGCCTCGGATCATCTCGGTCTCGTGCGCTGTAATTCGCTGCTCTTTTGCATGATTGATATCCATGGACCCCCCTCAGGAGTTGCGGTTGCGCGCATCCCGCCTGTCATGTCCATAGTGCACTCAATGTTCTTGCCTGTCCGATAATGATGTCACCGTCGCACGATTCGCAGCAACCCAACCGAGTAGCGCATCCTTGGGCCATACCATTTCCGACTGGGAAACGTTTGTAACTGCTCTCATCTACCAGCGATTGACAATGTAGGGTTGCTTGGCTTCCATCAGCAGCTCTTTGTAGCTGACTTTTCTTTTGGTAGGAGGCCTCGTGCGTGACTACTGTAGTACGCACCACCCTCTCCAGATACCACCACGGAACGTTCTGTTTCGGTGGTTTCTCGGCAGTTCTCGAGCAATTCTGCTCTATCCGTCAATAGCTTGATCATCGGATCAAAGTGCGTTTTTCCTCCAGGCCATCGTCCGCCTCATTAGGCTTGCTTTTTGGTACGCCTGTTCCTCCATTCTCTTGCTCTGCTGCTAATGACAGCCGTTCCTTGACGCCGCACCACCACCATGGCACCCACCTGGCCCACTTCACGACTGAAGTCCTGTATGCTACAACGTCACGAAGAAATCTCTCCCCTCTCGGCCACTTCACCCTCTCCCCCGCTTCTCAATACTGCCCAACGCAACAGTGCTGGTGCGGTGACGAAAACGCGGACTACGATGCAAACGGCGCCAGCGACGAGTGCGACATGCCCTGCGCAGGCGACTCCGGCGAGATGTGTGGAGGTTTCTACAGCATGAGTGTCTATCAGAACTTCGACGTCAATACTGTGGACCTTTCATACCGTGGCTGCTTCTCCGACCCAGCCGACTCCCGCGTTTTCTTCCAGAGCGTGTCCTCTGACGCCATGACCGCAGAGGTGCGTGGGAGAGTGATGAAAGGCGTGTGTAGTGTTTTTTCTGCGGAGTCACGTGTACCTGTTCAGGATCGTCTTGTTTTCGTGCAGTTGTAGTTGCTTTGAAGTGTTGTTAGGCACCCTCTTTTCCTTCCGACGTCGACGTCGCGTTATCATCTATCTTCGTCCGTGAATGTTTGTCAGAGGCTCTCGAGATCACTGAGAAAGCCAACTCGCCATCGATGCACCCGACCCTCTACATTGCTGCCGGTTGACGTGCCCCTTTATCTTGTCCTTCCCCGCTCCGTCTAATGATCGATCATCCGGAAACACTTGAAACCCCAAATGGCAACAGCTCTGCCGGTCGCAATGCGACGCGGACTTCTACGGAACGCAGTTCTCTACGGAGGTGAGGTCGTTTGTTTTGTTCTGTATTCTTGAGCGCTCGCATGCATTTGCCACGGCTTTATCGTGTGTCAGATCCACACCATACAGATGGATTTGGGTCAGTTGTTCAAGAAGGACGGCAACTGCCTGACGTTGGTTCAACGTACCTTGTGACGGTTTTGATGGTCACCATTACCACCTACACGAGCATTCAAAGTCGTGTTTGCGGGCCCATGAGCTTCAAAGACAATCCACGGCAAAGGCTTCCGGCAACATGTTTACATCGCTGTTACTGTTGTTGTACTAGTGTGGTTCCCCACAAAAAGGGTTGAATCCGAGCACCCCCTCAGCGTTCCCGCCGACTTAGGTGCAACTTTTGCTGTCTCTAAACTGCAGGTGCGCAACCCCCCAAAGCGGTGCGATACCGCTAGAATGGCAAAATATTTTGCACGTTGATATCTCTTACCTTCTTCGAGCTTGCCGGCTCAACAAGGTGTACCGTAGAGACGCTTGGAAACGACGTATCGCAACGTCCAGAAGAGACCCCTTGTTCTCTGTTTGCACCACCCTTCACCAATCCCTTCGAGAACAGTGTTGGTGCGGCGGTGACATCAATACTCCGTACTCCTTCAACGGCGAAGGCGTCTGCGACATGCCTTGCTCGGGCAACTCCGAAGAAACCTGTGGGGGGTACTACAGCATGGATGTCTACGCCGTCGATCCTTCGTACCTTGGGTGCTTCTCGAACCCCGCCGACAGCAGCGCGTTCGTGTTGAAAGCTTCTTTTGACGGAATGGACGCGGATGTGAGCGGTATTTGCGGAAAAAATTCGGTGGTGTTGTTTGTTTCAGATCGCTCACGTGTCCTGCTGGCACTCACATCTGCCCCCCCCCTTACGCAAACATGTCATTTGCTGAATACGTCTCGCTGCTGTGGTTCGTTTTTGTTATTGGCTTCCCCCATACCGTGCCGTAGTCCGAGGAAATGTCAAAACTGTTGGCCATTTCGCCACCGACGCACCCGATACCGCCATACTAAGTCCCTTGTGACGTGCTTCTCACTGCTCTTTCGTGCCTTGCCCTGGTAAACGCTCAGTGTGAACGCATGCATATGACTCGACAATAGACCTGCGCCTCGCTCTGCGCTGACTCGGCCTACTATGGAACGCAGTACTCCAACGAGGTAATACCTCCTGTATAGTGTGTGAATCGTGCTTTATTGGGCACATGGTGCAGTAAAAGCATTGGTATTCAGAAAGCACCTTGCGATGTTCGTAGACCTTGGGTGGCTATGGCCGTCATTGTCGTTTGTATTGATTTTTTTAGTGGTGATTCCAGTTGACGCAGTTTCTCGTCGCCTTGGTCCCGTTCACTGGTGAGTGTTAAACGCAGTGGCTCAATCGATCGTACGTTGGTTTGTCCAAGCAATCGAGAGAGCTACATGGAATCGTCTGTGCGTGCTACATTAACTCCGTGTACTTCTCGTTTGCTGCTCTCGACGCCGACTGTGCATGTGCCAACTGTGCATGTGTGCAACAGACTTGGAAGTGGCATCGTTTATGTGTATGTGGCTTAGCAACTACGACGTACGAAGTACAGGGATACCAATCGCAAGAATGGACCATTTTCCAAATGTGACTTCTTCATTGGATGATCGTTCTCAGGAACCCACCAGCCGAAACGGGCCACCTATATACATTGTTTTCGAGAACAATGCTGTCACGACTTTGTGGGTTTCTCTCACAACTGTGGCCGGTGCCCTTGCTGATACTGCAACCACCGCCGACCTCGCCTACCTCACCTGGGTTATTGACAGACCCCCAGTCAAGCGTGGCATCTATGACGAAATCCGTGCCTCCTCCTGCTCACATATCCCTTTTATTTGCTGATTCTGCCGCATGAAATAGTGCTGGTGCGGTGACAACGCCGATTACGCTGCCAACGGACACAGCTTCTGTGACCATCCCTGCTCGGGCAACCCCGACGAGATGTGCGGTTCTAGCTCCTCCTTGTCGGTGTACCAAACCATCTAAATGGCGGACCACATGGTTGCTTCATCAAGGTAGGACGACGCGACACCGGCTTCCTCGGAAGACGACAAGATGGGTGAGAGTTTCTCGCGTAGAGTAGATGTCAGAGCAACACCGAGCGCCCGGAGACGGAGGTCGAAGATTCTTCGTCTCGATCAGGATAAGTGGTTTGCGGTTCACGCCACAGGCGTACATGAATCTGTCTGGCCAGCCAGTCACCGTCCCCAGGTCGCCCGTGACGAGCCGGATAACGTCCGGCACACGGTTCGCACGTAAGAGGCGCTACAGTACATAGTTCGGTGGGCGCTGAGACCACGCCTAACCATAGTCTGTGTTCTGCTTTCTCGGGCATGTACCATGTGTAACTTTTGACACGAATATTCGACATTGCCATGGACACCCTCTTGTTCGGACAGACCCTTCGGCGACCTCCGGGCCTGACGCCTAAGTTGGCATCCACACGAGTGAAGCGATACAAAAAGTCGTGTTCCTCAGCGCACGTGTCAAAGCTCGGTCGGTGTGTTCGATGTTCTTCGACATTGACCAGGGCTACGAACGTACCACTGTATGTAGTGTGAATGGAGACGTTCGATCTGAAAGACATTTCTGCAACGCCTAGTGCATCAAGGGTTTGCACCTTTGGAAGAATACCGAATGCACAAGCGGAGGTGGGATTGGTGAAAGGTTTGGCGAGACGTGCGTACATTGTTTGTTGGCATGTTCCTGTAAGAGTTTTTGGGGTAGGGTTTAGAAGGAGTGCCAAGGTTCTAGTCGTTCGGTCGTAGGAGGTAGTCTTTTTGAGGGAGTGCAAACGCGACATCGCGATGCCAACATCACATAACATGTTTGTAGACGTGTCCATGGGACCATCAGTGGGCAATATCGTCCAAAAATACAGGACATACACACGGTGATCGGCAAGGGTTGATTTTCCCGTCGCTCCACTCCCTACTCATACCGTTCAGCTAGCGCCACCAACAGGGCTGCCTAAATGAAATTGTCTGGATCAGGCGTCGTTTTCGTGTCTGGGGTTTGGACAGGGTGCATTTGGGTGCATGCACAAGTTTCAGAGTCGTGACCTCGGCAGCTGTTAGTCGTCTGTAACGGTGTAGGATGTTGTGGCTGGATGTGCGGTGTGGCGTCGAATAGACTGGTTGGTGGACTCTGACAGGAGATCTCCACGTTATCCGAGGTGCTGCGGTTACTTCCGCTGCAGCTGGAGGGTCGCTGGTAGCTATTTTCATGGGTTGGGAGTGTTGCTTGAAGCAAGTCTGCTGTGAGGACATTGTAAAAAATAACTACTACCTGGTAGTGGGTTACAGGCTAAATATTCAGCTAGTTGCGGTTTTTCATCAGTGGAATGAATCCGGCTAGGGGTAAGAAACGAGCCACACTAGTAGGTGTTGATTTTTCAGAAGTTGTCACGGCCGCGAACGTCGTCCATACACTTTCACCTCCTCCCGTGCGAGATAATTCAGAGGTTTCTTTCTTTGTCACATCGTCTAGCCGCTCTGGGGTCCTATACAGAGCTCTATTACACCAGCCGCACAGAGTCGATGTTAGGTGTTGCGTCCGTTGCCTGACAAGGTGTGTCTCAGTCGCGAATACGTTCGTTCGTCTCCATTCGAGCAGTACATGAGGATAAAATTTCCCATACCTTTCCTCAAGGCTTTTTCTAAGGCCAGTATGGTTGAGGTATAGGCCGCTGGCCAACTTAGACCACACGTACCGCACGTCACGTTTGATCGGACGTCCATCAGTGCAGCATGCGTCTCTCGAAACAACGAGTGTCAGACGCAAAGAAGGTTGTGGCATTGCCTGCCCCCATAAAGAAACGAACCACCTTCGTCACAGCAGGCACGACTCACTCATACTGGGGATTCAGGCCGCGGCGATATATCTACTTCGAGCATATTTTACTGCTGTACTGAAACGTACAACAAACACGTGCGTTCTGTGGTTTTCGTAGACTCAGCAGGCCTTTTCGTTCCAAAGGAGCGTCCGATTATTTTTCGTTGTGCATTCTTGTACATCGTCGTAATTCTCGCTGGTTCCGGCGGTCGGACATGTTGAAAACTCAAAGAGTCCAGTTCACTTCCGTCTTTGCTTGCCGTATGACTGGCGCTGTATGTAGATGCCGAAGTATACTTTGAATACCCTAGCTCTGAGGTCGACACACACCACAGTGTGGTGCACGCGTGTCTCCGGCGGTTACCTCGTGGGTCAATATTTCCCCACACGCGTCCCACGCAACGGCATCATTTTCATTGTAGGCAGATAGTCTAAGTGTGTTGTAGGATAGAATCACACGTATTCCGCCCACTCTTTTTTAACCCTGATGGAATTACGTGAGACATATATATCGCCTATCTGGCTCGGCTATCGTACGTGCACGTCCCTCCTCTCTGGAATCTCCCCCACTTGCTTTTGGCAGTTTTCCTAAGTTTCCCACGGACTGCCCACGGAACACAAAGACATGGGACAAGACAATGCACAGTACCACAGGCTGCCAATCGTGAGAGACGTGTTTCACTACGGTGGGCGGCTCACGAGCATGCTCATGGGCATTCCCAAGCGGAGACCATCACAGGTATTCAACATGCTCACAATGGTCAGCGCCCTTCGAATACTCACCCTGGAAAACCCACGATGGTTATGCGCCCAAACCCTACCCTTTCAGCAGGACGTCCAACGATTGTGCTCGCCCTGCTCTATTAGCAAATCTCAGTGTGCCCCCAGCAAGAAGAAATCACATTTGAGCCAGATATAATAATACTTCGATGATTGACGATTACCCGAAGAATTGCAGGCACGACCGTCAAATACTGGGTGTAGACTATACACACTGTACGGCATACTGCCTACCTGCGTAGATTCTACACGCACTGCTGTACTTTCACAAGGGTGTAACAGGACCAATGCTTGGTTTGGATTGTGTTCTTTCATATGCACATCCTTGACGGTGTAGACAAAATGGTCTGCCCATGGGCACCTCATGGAACTGCTCGCGGACCGGCCGTAGACACCTCACAGACATCCCATGGACACCTCATGTGCAGCTCATGCATTGCTCATGGGCTGCCCAGGACAGGAGCTGGTCCATGTGAAAAAACAATCCCAGAAGTTGTTGTGGTAGATTGTGCCC